GAGGGAGAGAGAGGGAGAGAGAGGGATGGAGGGAGGGAGAGAGAGAGACCAAGAGGAAGGAGGGGGGTGGGGGAGACGGAGAGAGGAGGAATGTAGAGAGAGGGAAGGAGGGAGAGAGAGGGGGGGGGGGCAGACAGTTTCTGCAGCTCAGAGTGAAAATAAATTACACCCCTACGTTCATTATGTGGGTAAACAGGCCGCCATAGCACAGCGGTACAGTGTGCTCCCGTAGTCCCTGGGGACCGTCCGTAACCGCGTTTGTGGCCGAGCGCTCTGCAGCCAAATGAGACCCCCGGCACAATCGTCACAGCGGCGCCGGCTGCTTGGTGGACTGGCTGGTCGGGCGCCCGCAGACGGGCGAGTAGGCAACCCGCCGGCCAGTGGTACGCGGCGGGCTGGCCTACCTTCTGGCGTTCCACGACATGCGAGGAGCTGCGGAGGTGGCGGAAGTCTCGGCGCTCCGTTTCGCTCGACGAGTGAAAAGCTCCTTTTCCTCTCCGTCGCCGTGGTCGCCTCCCGCGCTCACCGATCAAGGAGCTCCGCGCTCAAAGGCCCGTGTACCTCTAATGGAGGGCAGCCGGGACCCGCCTAACGAGCCGCGCCACGTCCGAGGGGGAGGAGCAGCAGCAGCGGGCGGCCAAAAGGTGGATCCTTCCGCTCGCACGCAGCCTCGCTCGGGGGGTCACACATAACGAGCATAAGTCTCCCTATCTGCCTCTCCCTCTCTCGCGCCAGCCGCCCAGGCATGGGCGGGGTGCGGGGGCGTGTGGGGGAGGCTATAAGCGCAGCTAGTCGCCGCTCCCGCTGCAACGCTGCAAAAGTTTTAATTTACCCGCGGCCCCGCCTTGGACCATGCGGGTCGCGTTTAAATAGCCCTGCCCCTCTCCCCCTCACAGCTCTGCTTCCCTCTCCCCTCTCTCGCTCTCCTTTACCCGCACGCAGCCGAAGGGACCAAAGGCGGGCGCATTATGTATAGGCCAAACCCCCCGCGAGTGTGGCGCGGCGCTGCACCAGCAGGTGAACGTTCAGACTACTCTCGCGTGCAAGCCGAGCACGCCCGCTCCTTTTTAAAAATGTATTCTGATATCGGCGCCACGCCACGCCACGCCCGAATAGCAGCGTACTCGCGCGTGGAGAGAGGCGTCCATAGAAGGAGCCCCCTCCCCTCCTTTCTCTCTCTCTTCTCGCGCGACCCTCAAAGTTTGTTAGCGGCTCATTCATGCTTGATGTGTTTCGCGAAGGCAGACCAGCCAGACTCTCTCCCTCCCCCACTCTCCCTCCGCAGCCCAGCCCGGCCCGGCCGCGGCGGAGCACTGCCACCGCCGAAGCAAGAAGACCCGGAGACACAACACAGACCCCGCACACAATCCGTGCTAGTTCTATCAGTCTCAATAGGGTCGCTGGTCCTTTTATACGCATGGGGCGGGAGGAGCGTGGAGCGTCCCGGAGGGCGGCGAGGATGGGAGGGGAAGGCGGGAAATCGACGTGGCTAGCTCGCAAGGAACTTGTCACGCCCAGTAATTGACAGAGTTTGCCTCGAGCTCCGCGAGTCTTGCACCACTTCCTCGGCGGTGCTCGTTAAAAGACAAAATGTTATTTTTTTCCTCCATACACTTTCCTCCTCTAACATTTTCGTCATTATTTGCCCAGAGTATGGTTTTGCTTTCAATACAATACACGCTCCAAATGGGTAAGGACAATTTTTCACCCTACAGGGTAAGCGCATCTTTAAAACATGCAAATTTGTATCTAGAAAGTTATACATTTTGTACGTAAGCTAAGTACAAACAACTTTTATTGTATCTAGTTAAGAGACAAATTTGCATCTATTTGAGATGTGCTTAAGAACGCATCCCCGCTGGGTGCAAAATTGCCCTTTCCAATTTTGGAGTCCAGACCTAAACCTAACCCGCTTCGCTGCAATGCCACAATTCGAAGCTATCAAAATTCACAGAATATGTTGAAGTCATTAGTTTTTGAAGAATTGACTTACGTGAACGAGCAAACAATGGTGTTCATCCGGAGGTCCAGCATCTTTAAAGAGTCATCCCGAACGCAGCTCAGAAGGTATTTTCCATCTGTAATAAAAAAAAGAAGACACAATGCGTTACGAAAGGGAAAAATGCATATGACAGACATGTCGGCTTGGCTGCCCGAGATGAAGCGGCATGGCATACCAAAACCATCCTAAGCAACTGTTTTCCATTGATTAAAAAATATTCACTGGGGCTGGTCGTGGTCTTGTGATTCACAACGTTTTCGCTTGTCGTAAAAACCATACACAATGACAATAAACTGATATGATATGATTACATATAAATAATGCAATTAATATTAAGGAGAATAGTTTATAAAATTATTATAGGACCTCTGAAGGACTGTGTAAAGTGCCATTGTACGTTATGTACCGTTGACAAGTTATTTTAGAAAAGGCAAATAAGAATATCAAGGAAACAAAAAGAAAAAACTATGCGCATTTTCAAAATACTTCACACCGGGAAAGTGAATAAGCGAAATTTAGCCCTAGGTCAAAAGTTTTTTTATGGATCGGAAAAACGATTTTTCTCAGAGTATCATCTCTACGGGTTCTGCTGATCTGCTCTCGAACAAGTTGAGCACTGCAAGCGCCGCGGTGACTGCGGCTCTCGGAATCCGTCCGCCAATAGCAATCAATTAATGGTATTTGAATAATCCGGCCCCTTCCCCTCCCCCTTTGCTGGAACGGGGAAATAACGCTGCACGATGTGGTGAGCCAATCATAGCGGCTCTAGCGGCTCTCAGCGCGGAGCCTCGCTGGCGTGGAGTATGGCGGCGAGGCGTGCGGAGTATCGCCGCAGCATCCTTTGCGCGAAGGACCGCCGCCAGGGCGCGCCAGCAGGCCTGACTCGAGGGCAGGCAGAGAGTACTCCCGCTGCCCGTCTCTAGGAAAAGGGCGCTAACATTTGAAGGCGTCTCCTCAAACGACTGCCAGCTTTCATGTGTATGAGCACTCACAGCTAGTGAGACGGGCGAAGGAGATATAACACACTACGGTTTCTGCAACTGTTAAAAAACGGCTTGCTTTTGTTAAATGATAAGTAGACCAATTGAAATAATGTAACCGTAAAATGCCCTACTTTTTAGCCACCGAAGAAAAGGAAAGAATGATCGAAGAGTACGTAGGGCGCTGAAACGTTGCGGCCCAAAAGAGATTGGAGGGGTTGTAGGACGTGCGACGTGCGGGATGATCCACATCAGTGCGGAAACAATACTCGGAGTAAACAATGGGCGCTGGGGCCGCTGCGCGCCCGGGGCGGTCTGTGAGTGGGCCAGATGCATTCCCGACTGCATACCACTACACCGGCTGTAAAAAATGGAAAGAAAAAGAAATGCCTGACTCACCGCAATATTTAAGACGGGATCGCACTAGAAGGAGATTCGGAAGAAAAGGGTGAGAAAGGAGGACCTGCATCAGTTTTTAATTTTAAAGAAGACTAGGGAGGGACTAGTAGTTGTTTTTGAGAGTAAGTCGACAGCAAATGACGATAGCCAGGCGAGACATGTGATAGACGTAATTACACAAACAAGTATTAGATGTGCCATTCTCGCCACGAAGAAGATAAATGGACGGGCAGAAGCAGAAGGCTACTTCAATCCGCGATGCACTAGTCGCATCAGCATTCCGACCCCACAGTACAAAAAGATTTTAATGGCAATGTAATTGCTGCAGCAGCGAACTCCC